TGATGATTTGCAGCAGAGGTGCGCTATGCGGGCGGCCAAGCTGCGTGATGTGGAGAGCACAACAGGTATGTCAGTTAATGTTTCAAATTCTATTCTGCATTTCTCTAAGGATGAGATTATTAATAATGCAAACCAAGTGGGGGTGTCTCTTGGGAATAATAATTTGGAAATTGAAAACTCGGTTAATGATCTTTTAGATTTGGAAGCGGAACGGGCCTTGGAGTCTATTAGAAACCTAGCGGCTGTAAAACCTTTGAATGATGCGGAGATTGAGGCCTTGGGTGTTAGGGTGCTTGATAAATTCTGCGCGGATCTTGTTCCTCCGTCTGCGGAGCCTGATGAGGATGAACTCCAGGTAGATGATGCAGCTCATGTTCAACCAGAGCACGGTTATGAGGACCGGGCTACAGGTGATAACATTCCTAAACGTAAGTGGAAGCGGAAGGTGTACCCTGCATCCGCGGTACGCAGGAGTGCTAGAATTCGTAAGGCCAAAAAATTCCATGATGACCTATGAAAGGAATATTCTGGAATAGCAGAGGTCTTAAGGACTTGGCTAAACGTAGGTTTCTAGCGGAGGCATCTTTAGAACACCGTTTAGATTTCATTGCTCTCTCTGAAACTGGTAGCGATAATTTTGCACCTCAGTTTCTTAACACGTTGTCGGGAGGGGTGGAATTCGATTGGCATTGTCTTCCTCCAAGAGGGAGGTCTGGGGGCATCTTGCTGGGTGTGAGATGTGATTCCCTTGAAGTCCGGAGTGTTGTTATGGGTGACTTTGCAGTGAAATTCAGAGTCAGGTCCAAAATAGATGGGTTTAACTGGGTGTTGGTGGCGGTCTACGGGGCTGCACAACCTGAGCTTAAACTTGAATTTTTGGCTGACCTGGTTCGAATTTGTGGGTCCGAACAACTCCCTATCCTGGTTGGGGGGGACTTCAACATTATTAGGAGGCGGGATGAAAAGAATAACGATAATTTTGATGGGCGATGGTCCTTTATGTTTAATACCATCATTGAGAGTTTGGATTTGAGAGAAATCGAACTCTCCGGTAGACAATTTACCTGGGCTAACTCTTTACCAAACCCGACATATGAGAAGTTGGATCGGGTTCTTGCAAGTGCCGAATGGGAGCAGAAGTTCCCTCTGGTCATGGTGCAGGCTCTAACGCGAGGAATTTCGGACCACACACCGCTATTTGTTGACTCAGGGGAGCCAAGGCATGTGGGAAACAAGAATACTTTCTCCTTTGAAACGACATGGTTTGAAAGAGAAGGTTTCTTGGATATTGTTGCCAGAGAGTGGGCTAGAGAGTCTAGGGGTAGATCGCCTGTCGAGAGATGGCAGAATAAGATTAGGCATTTGAGGTGCTTTCTTCGAGGTTGGGCTAAACATCTAAGTGGAGTTTATAAGGTTGAGAAAGACAGACTCCTGGAGATTATTCAATACCTAGATGTTAAAGCTGAATCAGCGGTTCTTCAATCTGCGGATATGTGCTGTAAGATTGATGCGGAAAAGAGGTTGAAGGAACTTCTCCGCGAAGAAGAGCTGAAGTGGGCGCTCAGAGCAAAGGTTCGCAAAGTAATCCAAGGGGATGCGAACACTCAATTCTTTCATCTGATTGCGAATGGCAAACACAGAAAGAAAAAAATATTTCAGCTCGAGCAAGATGAAGGCACAATTGTTGGTCACGATAATCTTAAGCTATACATCACCGAATACTACAAGCAGTTATTTGGACTGCCGGAGGATAGCGCTGTGTCCCTCGATGAGTCCAGGACTGAGGATGTGCCTCAATTAACTGCTGCTGATAATGACATGCTAGTTGCGCCGTTTACGGAAAAGGAGGTTTTCGATGCCATCTCTCAGATGGAGAACAATAAGGCTCCCGGGCCGGATGGGTTCCCGGCGGAGTTTTACAAAAGATGTTGGCATATCATCAAAGGGGATCTGCTACCCATGTTCCACGACCTTTTTGCTGGACGGCTTCAACTTTTTCATTTGAACTTTGGAACGATAACGTTGCTTCCAAAGAAGACCGACGCTCTCAGGATTGAGCAGTTCCGTCCTATCTGCCTCTTGAATGTCAGTTTCAAAATTTTTACCAAGGTTGGGACTAATAGGCTCACACAGATTGCGCATTCTGTGGTGCAGCAATCCCAAACAGCTTTCATGCCAGACAGAAACATCCTGGAAGGGGTGGTGGTGTTGCATGAAACGCTCCAGAAAATTCACTCTAAGAAACTTGATGGAGTCATCTTTAAAGTAGATTTTGAGAAAGCGTATGACAAAGTTAAATGGCCTTTTCTGCAACAAGCTTTGCGTATGAAAGGTTTCCACGAGGGCTGGAGGAGCCAGATTGAAACTTTTACGCAAAAGGGTAGTGTTGGCATAAAAGTGAATGACGATGTCGGTCATTACTTCCAGACACATAAGGGCCTGCGGCAGGGAGATCCGATGTCCCCTATTCTGTTCAACATAGTAGCCAATATGTTGGCGGTGTTGTTAGGGAGAGCCAAGGAAGTTGGCCAAATAGGGGGCTTGGTGCCACACTTAGTGGATGGGGGTATATCCATCCTGCAATACGCTGATGACACTATCATCTTCATGGAGCATGACTTGGTAAAAGCTAGAAATCTGAAGCTGCTGCTTTGTTTGTTTGAGCAGCTAAGTGGGCTCAAGATTAACTTCCACAAATGTGAGTTGTTCTGCTTTGGGAGAGCCAAAGAGGAACAAGAGGATTACAAGCAGTTGTTCGGATGTGGTTTGGGTGAGCTGCCTTTTACCTACTTAGGAATTCCTATTCATCACCGCAAGCTCACGAATAATGAATGGAAGTGTATTGAGGATCGTTTCGAGAAGAAGCTAAGTTGTTGGAAGGGCAAGCTCATGTCGTATGGAGGCCGTTTAATTCTTATTAATTCGGTGCTCACGAGCATGCCCATGTTCCTTTTGTCCTTCTTTGAAGTCCCAGTTGGAGTTAGGAAATGACTGGACTTCTATCGATCGAGGTTCTTTTGGCAGGGGGATGAGACTAAGAGAAAATATCGGTTAGCGAAGTGGGATATCATTTGTAGACCGAAAGACCAAGGGGGTATGGGGATTGAGAATCTCGAAGTCAAGAACCGGTGCCTTCTTAGTAAGTGGTTGTGGAAGTTATCCTCAGGAACTGACGCCATGTGGGCTCAAATCCTGCGTAACAAGTATCTCCAAACCAAAACTTTGGCTCAGGTGTCGGTTAGACCAACTGATTCACCCTTTTGGAAAGGGCTTATGAAAGTGAAGCTTTCATTTTTTCAGAGGTCAAAGCATTTAGTTGGTAATGGTGCAAGCACGAGATTCTGGGAGGATACTTGGCTTGGAGAGGCTCCCCTAGCAATCCAGTATCCGTCTCTGTATCGTATAGTTCGAAGGCGCGATGCTTTGGTTGCATCGGTCTTCGCCTCGATACCCCTGGATATCCAGTTTAGAAGATCGTTAGTGGGCAATCATTGGGAAGAGTGGCTGCATCTAGTTAGGAGACTGATGCAGGTACAACTATCTCAACAACCTGATAAATTACGCTGGAATCTCACTAGGTCGGGGGGATTCACGGTTAAATCAATGTATGTTGATGTTATTAATTCCAGCTCGATTCCTACTTCAAAACATGTGTGGGACGTCAGAGTTCCTTTAAAGATCAAGGTGTTTATGTGGTTTCTACATAAACAGGTGATCTTAACAAAGGATAATCTTATTAAGCGTAATTGGACAGGACCTACTAGGTGTAGTTTCTGTGATCAGGGTGAAACCATTAAACATCTTTTCTTTGACTGCCCACTAGCTAGAATTCTTTGGACGACTATTCAAGTCGCTTTCAATATTACCCCACCAAGGTCGGTTAACATGTTGTTTGGGACATGGCTAACTAGGGTAGAGCCCGGGTTAGCAAAACATATTCGCTTGGGGGTTTGCGCTTTTTTGTGGGCGCTTTGGAATTGCAGAAATGACTTCGTCTTTAACAGATCAACAAATATCCATGTTTTGCAGGTTATCTTCCGAGCAACGGCTCTTATCCGTTCCTGGTCGCTACTCACTCCGACGGAGGCCAGGGAGCTTTTGGTTACTGCTGCTATCCGATGGGAGATGGTAGCTCGGGATATATTCAGCCGGTTTGGATGGCGGTCGTGTAACAGGATAGGCAATTAGTTTACCTGTCTATTTTGGAGCCAAACGGCTGTGATGTATAAGTGCTTTGGCTAGCTTGTGTATCTAGCCTTCGGGCTCTGTGTGAGTCTTTTCTTACTTTTCTTGTTGACAACCTTGAGACTTGGAGACTTTGTGGACTATTTTATGCTTAATAAGATGGCCGTATGCATCATGCTGATGCAGAGGCCGGGGAAGCCCCCCTTTTCGAAAAAAAAAATAAGTATTCCTTCGTATCTAATGACTTGTCACATCAATTAAAACTTATCAAAAAAGTTAGATGCGACATTCAATGAATCTCTAAAAAAAGTTACATCGAATGTCACATCTAGTTTCAAAACAGTTAACTTACATCCGGAGGCATATAGAAGGGGAGAGGGGAGGACTTCCCTTCAAATTTTCTCCGTGGTGGGATTCGAGTTGCACACTGTCACCCTGCCAGCTCTCGCCTTCATCTTCCTCCCTTCGCGCGTCCTCCTACCCTCCACGGCCGAGCCACGGTGAGCTCCAGCACTAAGCAAGCATCTCGCCTCTCCCCGTATCTCCCGCTGTCGCCTCTCGCTACTCCAGAAGATATGCCTGTTCTTGCAGTCCCCGCCCTGCCTTGCTCATCCTCTTCCCCCCGATATTTCTATAAGTGGAAATTTTACTTTATCCATGGTCTGTGATGAAAAAGATCGGAGTTTTTGTGTGTCCCTCTGCACGAAAGACTGCTTTTTTTTATGCAGAGGGGGGGCAGATTGCAGGGGCAAGATTCTTGCATTCATAAGCTTTCCATTGACCATTTCTTTGACAGCGGGGCGGCGGCAGCAGCAATGGAGACGGGCGCGTCGTCGGGGACGGGGAGCTTTCCGGCCGAAGACGGTGAGATTTGGGTGCCCGTGCTGTCCGATCCTCTGGATGGGGGCTCGAATTCGCCGACCCAGGTAAGGCCCATCTTTGCTTCCCTCCATTTTCTTTATCGCCTCTGAAGAAATCCATTCCCGTGGAAGATTATTGTTCTTTTCCTAGCGTTCATGCTTCTTCTCCTTTGCCTTTTTACTCTTTTGCTTTCTTGCTTCAAGTACTCTCTGTGCAAAACTGGTGTTTCTTTCTTTTGTTTTTCTTTTTGAGAATTTTTTTTTGTGCTATTCTTTTTGAGAATGGGAACGATGTGTTGCTCAACAAGCGTCGTGTTGGACTGGCATCCACCTGTACAGTTTGTCATTCATCGAGCGCACGAAACAAATCCCTATATGTAAATTCGTTATTTCCCTCAAGATTCATGAGTTATCTGAAAGAAGAGTTATAAGCACAACCAAAATGGTCAATACAAAGTACTGACGCTTAATTATTCCAATTCCCTGGTTTCATCAACTTTCTGTTTAACTGGATGCAATATATGTGGACTAGCACAGTTCATAGATCCAAGTTCTTCAGATCTTATCGAATCTGACTTGGATATATAGAGTTTGCAGTGGGCTCATCAAAATCCTCACACGAAACCAATGTATATTTCATGGTTTTGATGGCAGGCGGAGATTGAAGTCTATTCAGCATATCTGGATTATGACGCCATGGACTTCCAAGCAGTCTTAGAAGGACCCCAAGATGAACACGATATTGGAAAATTGTTTGGAGGTGCAATGTTTACTTCTTGCTGTACATTCCAAACTTTGTTACATAAGCAAGCAAGTTTTATCCGTGGTTTCCACTTTGAAACCAATGTATGAACCTTTCCTTGCAGGTGCACGCAGTCCTACTTATATAAAGGAGGCGAATTTAACTCATGAGGCATGATTTTGGCACATGTAGAAGTATGGCTAAATAAATGATGTGACAAATGTTACTGAAAATATGCTTCATCTTGGCAGATTGAATGTGAACTTTATTCACCAACTAGTGATCATGGCATGATACAAACACTTGCGCCTGCGTCACCAGAAACCAAGGAGATAAGGGGGAGGAGGATATCTGCGCCGGCCACGGCGCTTCCTGAGAAAGAGGAGGCCCCTGTCACCATGGCCCTCGGAGGAGGAGGAGAGGAGGACAAGAAGAGAAAGGGAGGAGGGAAAGGGCACCCGCTGCCTTGTCACCGGAGAAGCATGAGGCTTGCGCTCGCCGCCACGCCACTGGAGATGGGGGCTTGTGCTACCTTCATAGTAGACCTGCTAGGTACGAATTATGAAGGTTGATATATATCACTTGCCATAGTCTCAACTCTCAAGTAGTTAAATACACATGTTATATGCTTCAGATTACATGCCGAAAAGTGGTTGGAGGCACCGAAGTCGCGTGAGAAGTGCACGCAAGAGAGGAATATGGTCGTTAAACACGGAACAAACTTTCCTTCTGCCTAACCATTTAGGGGTAAGAATTATGTTTATTATCAGTAGAAATTCAACAAATTAGTATGTGTGCAACGAGTTCTTTATGTATTCAGTCTTTGTATTGTGCACCTTTTGTGCTCAGATTTATTATCAGCCATCCATCAATGGAAAAATGCTCATAACTATGTCGGTTATGTTTACTAGAATGCGACATGCTTTCAGGACATGAGCTCTACATGTAAAGGCAAAAAATGTGGGCACAGAAAAAACAATGACCACTGGACATACGAAGAGATGAAAAAACTAGTGGATGCTCTGTATATATCTGGGGTTGGAAATTGGACGAAGTTGAAACATGAGAACTTTTCAACATCAGTTCGAACAGCAATGAATCTTAAGGTATGGTAGATTGGTGTATATTGCACCCTAAAGCAAATGCATTATTAGATGTTTTCTTTGCTTGACAACGTTTTAATTTATTGTATTTTAAACTTTTTTTGTTAATCTTCTATGCATCTATAATTTTCCGCCACGAAAGATACAAAATTTAATGTTTGGTACATGTGTTCTATGTTATCAACATATAATTTTACTGTCACCAATCTCTCCTTAATTCTTTGTCCTAGGTCCACACTGACACCAATCTATCTTCTAATGTTTAGGATAAATGGAGAAATCTTAAGAAAGCCTACACGGTCAGGCCTACTTCTAAAAAGAATGTTGTATACGATAAGTTTTTTGAACTCAATATGGAACACCACTGATTTGCATTTCTTACATTCGTTAAATTCCAGGGAAATGCTAAAAAAAAGATCTTGCCGACTCTAGACAAGGCTTGTGTCGAAAAGATCCAGAAGCTAGCCTCCAAAATGAAGCTGCACTTGTGAATGATACAAGAAACATTTTATAGTACTTTTGGTGTAGGAATGAATCAGCAACAGGAGTTCTGTTATTTTTTCTAGGACAGCAAGGCATAGGCCGGCTGCCATATTGAGTGTGTAGAGAGTAGACATTAGCAGCTTATATATCCTTCCTAACT